TAACCAGGGGTCAGATAGAAAAATGCGGTAAAACCCGGATTTTTCTAATTGTAAGGAGAAAAACCCAGATTGTCTCCTTTAAAAGAGAAAAACACAGGAAACAGTGAGTTTCCCTTTGCAGGCTGGCAGAGTTCCAGCCTCCAAGGGGCTGTGGGGAGCAGGAGGAGGGCAATCAGCAGGGGGCGTCATGTACATATGCACAGGTACACATGCACATGGCCACCAGGCAGCCTGGAGAGCAGCTTCCTTCAGGCAAGTCTGGCATGGGGGGCTGGACTGAGGCCCCCATACTGAAGAAAGGAGGGAGTTGGGCAGGGCTGCGGCTGCTGCCTAGCCTGGGTGGTGTGTGTGGCTTGGGTCTGAGGTCAGAATGCACAGCTGCAGGGCCCAGACAAGGAGTGGGACGGGGCTGTGGGCAGCTCGTCTGGGTGGCGGGAGGGGCTGGCTCTCTACTGCTGTGTGTACTTCCAAGGAGAGAATGCGGGGCATGTGCCTCCCAGATTTGTGTGCAGGGTGGGGGCAGCTGCAGGCTCAGGCTCCCTACCCTGCTGCCTTCCTCGGCCCAGCAAGCAGGACCCCATGAAGCAGGTCAGAGCGGGGCTGGGCAGGGAAGCTCAGTGCCACTGCTGCACCACCTGCCCTTGCATAGGGGAGAGCAGCTGGGCAGGGAGCCCAAGCCTACAGTCCACATCTGCTCTGCCCACAGGCTCCACTCTGGCCTGTGAGGGAGGGGGGAGCCGGGCTCTACATTCCACTCCACCGCAGCAGCCCCCACCTCCCATGGGCAGCAGCTGGGGCTCGGGTCCTTGGACCTTTAGCCCTGGCAGCTGTGGGGCAGGGGGTTGTTAGTGGGGAGCAAGGGGCACCAGCAGGGCCAGGGGGCTATGGGTGAGGAGCACCAGCATATCAGGACTGCTCAGCAGCACAACCTGGGTGGGGGGTGAGAGGGGGCGGGGGAAAGGACAGCCACAGCTGGACCTGTGTCTTGGTGAGTGCAGGTGCAGGGAGAGCTCTGATTTTCCATGATAAAAAACCCAAAATCAAATGTCAAAATTTACAGGTATTTAGAATTTGTTTTATTATAGTGACTGAGGCATTGGTAGGCTTCCAATTTGCTTTAAAATTGTAAATATATCAATAAAGCATTTTGTTCAACTGATATCTATACATATATAGTGGCATTTCATTTTAATTGCAGAAAAATGTGGATTTGGGGGGTTTATCAGGGGATATGTGATCTTTAAAACAGAGAAAACCAGGAACTCTGTTCATAACTTAGAACCATGTGCAACGTAACGCGACAAAAGATTGGTCAGTAGCCAAGTCATAAAAAGCAAATCTCCTGTGTGTCCTTCCTCATCAGAACACATCTATTTGCAGCTAGTCTTCAGAAGCACTTAGCTATAACATTATTCCTTTATTTAAAGGCCAAAGAAAAAAAGGGAGGACACCCTATCGAATACTACTGTAAAAATGTGTTCTTGCAGCTCTCACCTTATGGAAGTTTAGCTGAGATGATGGAAAAAATCAATATCTTCCCCAAAACAGATCTAGACTATGTCCTCATGGAATAATCCTCATTTTGAAAGTAAAGATACTTGCTTTTTAAGTCTTGACATTTTCTTTTCTTTGGTAATGCTCTTATTCTTATGAAATGAAAACTAACAAAGAAGGTAAGTTGACAATGTGATATGTGATCATCCTAAATTTACTCTCCAAAAAAGCAATGCTGGCAGAATGTAATTTTACCTAATTAATTATAAATGTTCGGACCAAACTAAATAGAAATTTCTCTTGAACTCTATACCCATTGTTATATTTGCACACAGTGAATTCTTTCAACTCTCTGTCCATTATGGCTTTACAATAAACATATTGCTATTGTGTTTAGGTAAAAACATTTAAGCATTTTTCCCAATGCCTTATTCTCTGGTTCTAGTAATTTTCCCCAAGCATTCGTGAAATTGGTCTGAATATTTCATTCACAACACTGCCTTTTGGTTGAAATGGAACATAGGTTAGTTTAATGTCACAGGTTAAATGGTTAAGACTCATTTACTTGCCTGTTTGCATTTTGTACACCTCTTCTGACTATGGTAAACACAGTGACAGTTTCTTTGCATAAAAATTATAGTTTCAAGAAACACTACAAGGTTGATTCCTTCCAACTGAACCCAGAACAAAATCACTTACCAAACAGAATCAAAATTCATGCAGATGAAAGAAAACATTAGAAACCTTTAAATTATAAAAGGATTACATTAGACTATAGCTCGTGCAAGTCTCCTCCTCTGATGCCATCTTGTGATAAAGTCCATTTATTCTTCCTCACAGGTAGCCTCTCAATATGCTATACCATTCCATTCTTCATGTCTTCAAGATCTATCGCCTTCCTTATGTTCATTTTAGAGAAACTTAGATCAATTTCCTGAGTCATCAACTACCATTCTCCCCACTGAAACTTCATCTGCACCTTCCCACTGCTTGCCTCCACCTGCTTTCCTCTAGAACCATCTTGCTATTTTAACCATGCTTTCCCACTTCTTTGCTCCCTTCACCAGTCTTTTTTTTTTTTTTTTTTTTTTTTAAACATGAAGCCCAAGGTACTCACCTATTTTTTCATGACTCTACACAATTTGGTCCTACCTATAATCTTATCCCTATTGCCTCCTACATGCTTCTTAATCTGCATGCTCCACCCAAGTTTATTTCCCAACTGTTCCTTTTTAGTCTTAGCTTACACCGTTCTCTAGATCTTTTATTTATATAACACGTACCTCGGAATTAACAGCCAATTTAAATTCACTAAATAGTCTCTCCTTTCCCTTCTCCAAAAACACTACAGTAGAAAAACACTGAATACTTTTTGGAATAGATTCAAGTCCACACTGTGCTCATATTGTGTTGCATCAAGCCTTGTGTTGCACAAGAGAAATTATGATAAAGTTACTAGTACTTCTGTCACTGAGGAGATACATACTCCCATGTGCAGGTTCAGACACTAGACTAATACAGCCTTTTTGTGCATTCATAATTCTATGACTTTCACTTTTCTTTCCATTTTGAGTAGTTACATTTATTTAAAAATCAGAATTGCAAATAGACTTCAGATGATAGCTTCTCAAACAAATCAGCTATTTAGTGTGTGCAGTCACACCTGTACCAGAAGCAGTGTCTCCTTGGCTCAATTTGCATAAAGCAGTTTGCTAGAATGATGAGTAATTTCACAAGGTAATACTGCTGGCAAGCTCCTCTGAGTGCCTGTTGCAAAGATTTACTCTTCTGCTCAAGCTGTTTCGTTGTAATTGGTACATATAATACCCCTGTTCCATTTACTCCTCTCTCAGCCCCGTACAGAATCTCTTCAATTTCTGCCAGACAATACGCAAAACACGAGAACATTTAAGGTATTGCACATTATGATTTAATACACTAGTCCACATTTAATACACTAGTGGACTAATATAACACTCACACATTTCATTTCTGGCCAAGAAATTTATCATACTCATAGCCTTGCAAAATCTTTAACTGAATATAGTAACTAAAATTAACACTCAATTATTGTGTGATTACTGTTTATATATGCTCTTGAGATAATTATTTAACCCAGTGTTTTTTCAAATGACACTTATTTTATAAGGTATGTCCCTTATGCCAAGTATATAACTGGCAAAATGAAAACCATGTGTCAAACTAAACTGTAGCCCCAAGTATGTTAAAAAGTACTCAGCTACCTTAGTCCACCACCTCACATGTTCACTAGTACATGTTTTAAATGATGGAAAACTTCATTTTATAAAAATAAAAGCCTGCCCTGGGAACTTTACAACTGTTTTCCCCAAAAGTAAATAACTCTGTCTCCTAATATTTCACCGACTCAGGCTCAAAATGGACAATAATTCATTGCTTTATCAGAGACAGGTTTTAGGTCCAATAATTTGAGACTGTACAGAGCCAGATATAGAAGCCTAAAATTGGTGAAAAATGGAAATTCCTATTTCACCTCTAGACCTACGGAATCCCCAAGATAGATGTAAGTCATGGATAATTTGCATTTTAAAAAATCTATTTTAGGTCATCTTGGAGGCTCCTATGACATCTGTATGACTGGATTCACATTATGTAGGAGACCAGCTTTCCAGGCAGAAGCATATAAAAACAAGATCAATACCTTTAAACCTAATGTCTGTGAAACAGATCCTCTGTAACATTTTACATCTAGGTATAATATAATATGGCAGCGTTGTGCTGAGTACAGATTTCTCAGAATATTTTTAGGAATGACAGTGAGAACCAACTCATGACAAGTAGAGCCATGTCTAAGTCATGACAATATAAACTTCACAACACTGCATATTCCACACATACAAATAAAAAAGCTACAATAGCTCTGAGCACTCCTTTGTGAATGATACTTGTTCTTGTTTGCCAATTTACTGAGCAAAGGGCACACCTCTTTTAGTTACCATCTTGTCTGACAACAGCAAAGATAATTACACAATATGAAGTTTGCAGATAGCTTCTTCTCTTTCCAGTATGCTAACCCACACAAAAACCTGCATTTCCATACTGCCACCATACTTCAGTCTACACTGAAAGCAGGTGGTGCAAATGGGATGCAATCAGGCCTACCCATGCTAGTTTTACTTCAGTTAGCACACCACTTCAAAATGCAGCAGCACAAACTGGGGTATTCCACAGGGAACCCTGGGCATATACCTAGGTTGCTAGCCCACGCTGAAACTTGTGCTGTTGCTTCTTGTCTGTTACTGGGACCTGATCAAGCTAGATTAAAGCTAGTGTGCAGGTATGCCTATCCATGTTGCCATCACCCTTCCTTGCATAGACATACCCTAAGACTAGTTTGGTTTTCTTCTCTCAGCCAAAGCCATGACCCCTGAGTCAGAGGGGGGAGAAAAAAACAAAAAACCTGTTTGGCTGTTTCACAGATACTTTTGAAAAGGGAAAATCCCCTGGTGATTAGTAGTGTATCTCACCTCCTTTTCCTTGTTGAGCAGCACCAGCTGGCTGTCTGTCAGTATGCAGTACTTTCTCTCCCATGTTGTACTTTCAGCACAGGGAGACTGGCCACAGGAGAGTCTGTGAGTAGCTGGCCCTTTCACATCTGTAAAAGAATATAAATAGAGTCATTAGAGCGCACTGTTAACCACCCATGTGTTGTTGAATCTCTGTATTGAGAAGCACTGTAAATTTGCAACTTATTTTTAAAGAGTGCAAGTTTCAGGGTATTTAAGCATAGAAGATTAATCCTACGAGGCATCTGTGCAGAACTTTACACAAATCACAATCACAATCAGATATATAGAAGTGAAGAGCCCCCTCAGCATGGATGGCTACCTGGCAGTTCCTTCTTTTCAGGAGGGGAGCCCCTCAGTGGGAGTTCAGACTCAACCCCCTTTTAAAGAGAGATTAAGATGATGGTTAATTCACCTAAAGCAGGAGCAGGTAATTATTTCGGGCCGAGGGCCACTTACTGAGTTCTGGCAAGCTGTTGAGGGCTGCATGGGTAGCCCCGCCCCTTGACAGGTGCCCTATCCCCTAGTTGCCATCTTGTGACTGGAAGTCCTGCCCCCTAACCCCTGGCCTTTCCCACCAGAAGTCCCTCCCCTTTCCCCTAGAAGTACTCCTTTCAGCAAAGGGTTTTGCCATCTTGGAACGAGAAAAATACCAAATTATATTCTAAAAAGCAAACATCTACAACATACATTCATTTGATTTAAAAAAAAAAATGTTTGTCCTGATTGACATGTGTTTGTGTACTGTACACAGAGGTAATTGCACAATAGCTTAAAATGAAGACTTACTCTTGTATATTGTAGGGGGTGGGGGCATAGGGGTGGGCGTGTGGGTGGGTTTGTGGGGTGAGGGAGCATGTGGGTGTGCATGTGGATATGTGGGGTGTGGGTGGGAATGGGGTTTGTGGGATGCTGTGTGTGGGGGGAGGGTGGCTGGTGCGTTTGAGGGGGTGTGGGGATTGGTGTGTATAGCAGTGCGAGGGGGAAAGGGTGAATGTGTATGGTGGGGTGTGCATGTGTGACATCCTATGGAAACGAACCCACCCTCCTGCTTCTGGCCCCACGGTACCAGCATGGGCCCTATGCTCCCACGGTCCGGCCATGCAGCCGGAAGCCATGTGGTGTTGGAGCAGCCGGTGGCTAGCAGGAAT